ATGCCAGGATTAAAAACAACTCCAAAAGACAAACACGGCGGTCACGTTACCTTTTCAAATTTGCCCATTTTACCTTGAATTTACTCTAAAATCACAGCCCATCCTTACTGAACAACAACAACAACAATAATAATAATCTGTACGTTTTCTGGTGAGTGAAACAAAGATATGCTAAAATGTTTGTCACCTCCATCTTTGTGCTCTGTCTCTGACCACTATATGTTAAAAATGTTGATCGCCCCTTTAATTATAGTCCACATCATGAAAAAAATGTTTAAATTATGTACATTATTGTTATTACAGTTTATTTAAAGCATTACTTGACGGTGAGAGCGTTCACATTAACGACCGAAATATAGACAAATAAAAACCATTAGCTTGGTTTAAGATTCTTTTAAAACTTGTTTTTCTTTTGATACCATTTCTGATTTCCTCAGTTATTAAGTCCATAAAATCAAAGTTCAGGCTTTCACATGCAGCATGAATGCCTCCTGACTATGACCTTTGACCTTTAGGTTGTCTATCAGACTCACCCTGAACCGTTTTCTTTAACGTTACTTGAATAATGTCTGTTTGCACAGCCACTGTCCTTGGACTGAGTCAGCTACAGTCTGATTAATGTTTATTATTACTTTTATGCTTTTATGAAATAAAAACTTTATCATTAATGAAGTTTGTTTTATGTGATTATTAAATTTATAAATCGATACATAAATACAATAATATATAATAATCTTTATTCAGGGGTTCCAAACACTAGTCCTTGAGGAACACCATCCTGCATGTTTTAGTTGTTTCCCTGCTTTGACACGCCTGATTTGAGTGAATGGGTGATTAACAGGACTCTGCAGAACTTGAGAACATAATTAAATCACTGAATCAGGTGCGTTGGAGAAAGAAAACAACTAAAACATGCAGGATGGGGTTCCTCAAGGACCAGAGTTGGGAACCACGGCTTTAATGAACGCAGCTCTCAGTGTTTTGGACAAATTGAAAACAGTTCTGGGCAACCACAAAGGCGAGCCCCTTTTAAAACCCATTTTGGTCATTCATAAATCACAAACTGAGTCCACTTGGTCTCGTTAGGATGTAAACGTTTACTACTCAGCAGAGTTTATATACAATGAACACAAATATACTACAAAACTTTAGTTTTTTTCTCCTATTTTTCATGAGCTGAGCCATTGAATGAATGGTGACTAACAGGTTTTTGCAGACACAAAGGAGGTAATTCAACCATTGAATCAGGAATGTAAGCGTATTTGAGCAGGGAAACAAGGAAAACGTGCCGGATGGTGGCCCTCGAGGGCCAAGATTGGGCACCACTGGTCCAAACTGTGTCTGTTGTTCAGTCGTTTGTGTGCTTGTGCTGCAGTGAGAGCATAGGCAGGTCGCTATCAGCATTCTCCCGAGTGATCAATGCAAATTACATCTCCGATAAACTCCCCACGTCTCTCTGCGCTCAATAACCAGGACCAGCTCCGACGAGCCATTCACCACCTGACCCGTTTTCTCTGAATCATTTCCTTGTTCTGTGCAATCTGTCTCGAGTGGTCATCCCTCGTTTTCTATCTGCCCTCGTTTCCTTTCCTCTGACCCGTCTCCTCCTTTCTTGTCCTCCTGGTGCAAGTAGTGATCAATCCAACGTTCCTAAATGAACCGGAGCACAGACAGACGGGTAGGCAGAGGTCTGAGTGGCGTTTTGAAGAGTTGCGTAACACCAAAGTAACTTTAAGTTTCCACTCAGCCGTTCCATCCTAACGGCTGAACCGCTTCGCACATGCCACTGCTTACCCATCATGCAGTGGGTCTTTTTAACACCAACTAAAATCTGTGATTGGCTGTTTGACTCACAGGAAGTAATGAGGTATGTCCAGCTGGCTGGCAGAAAGGTGTAGGATAAGAGGCTGATACCCTTCCTAACACCTCTGCAATGCCTTCTGGGTAAGCAACTGGTGGATGAGGGAAAAACGTGTGAAAATATGCAAAGCGCTGGACGACGGAGGAGAGGAATGAGAACTGGCCGTGTGTTGGTGGGCTGCTGTGCTGTTTAATGTGTAGGTGTGTGCCGCTTCTGTGGGTTAGTGGGTGCATTCAAAGAAAAGCTTTGTCTTCAACGAATACATAGTGTTGTGTCTCTGCTCTGTTGTAGTTTGATTTTTATGAAATTAGGTCCTGAAAAACACCAGATCTATCTCTGCTGACTCCAGCCGTCCACTGGAGACTACGGTAACGCCCTCCCAGGATTCGGAAAATGCCCAAATCAAGAATGCTCGATTACAACAGTCTTTACGGCTGGGTTGGTACGTTTCACAGTGGGGTGGCTGTGGCTGAGTGGTTAGAGCAGTCGTCCTCCAGTGGGAGAGTTGGGGGTTCGATTCCACCAGCAGTCACATGCCGAAGCGTCCCTGAGCAAGTCACTGAACCTCTCATTGCCTCTGATGTGTGTCCCATCAGTGAATGAATGTGATAAAGCTCTGATTATTCTTTGTATAGATCTAGTAGAGAGCTGTATGAATGGGTAAGTGAGGCACAGATTGTTGTAAAGAGCTTTGTGCATCTTGATTAAAAAGAAAAGTGCTGTATAAGTACAGTCCATTTACCATTTACCATTCCACATCCACACTGGTTGTATTTATAGACGTATTAAAGCTGAAATGTCTTTAAAAGTCCACAGCTGAGTTTCCTCAAACTTGGTGAGAAACGTGCTTTAAATGTGTGGAATCAAAGTAAGAAAATCTAAGTGACATGTTGCTCTAAGTTGTTATAGCGAGAGCTGATCCGGGCCCCGAGCTGCAGCTAGCTGTTGCTAGCCATGGGTCTCATGTCTCAGACCCCAGGTCCGCCTCCCAACTCACTGCCCCCCGGCTCGGACCTCCCTCAGAAACGGCAACTCACATTATCAATAAATCAAGGAAATGTGAATTAAGTTTTATCAGTTGTATTAAATCAAGGCAGGAGAAGGTTACAGTTTACAGCGCCGGCCAGTCCCATACACGCTGCAGGATTCTGCACCGGAAGGGGCGAAGGTTACATGGTATTACAGATATATAGAGCCTAGACTCCTCCTTCGCAGAAGGGAGGCACGGACTATCACGTGGATTAGAGGCCAAGCTAAATGTGGTCTCATTGGACCTTATGTGGTTTTGACGTGTCAGAAAAAATGATACGGTGCAGAAAAAGCCTTTCTACATGATGCAGCAAGCCAATAAAAAAATAAAGACTCTATTCCTTGACAGGTATTGAATCCCTGGGAGACTCTTTTTAGAGTTGCTGGCCCCATTTAAACCAGTCAGAACCAGGTCATAATTTCATTACAATCCCGTCTCTGAGTAGATCAAAAGCCCAGGGTCAGTCTAGATAAAAATACTAACAATGTGCACCTTTAAATTGGGGTTTCTCTATTGAACCTTGAATGATGCACATATAGCCATGATAAAAATACTAAAAAATGTTAAATATTGGCACTAGTTGCTAAAACCACCAACTCTTCATCGGTCAGAAGTAATCCGTGTCCCAGAAATATTACATTCTAAAAAGGTCTTAAATCCAGAAGAAGATTTCACGAGCAACTTTGACTTTAGGCTCAGTCTACAGTGCTGATCATGCACTACTTGTCCACACACAAACTGACTTTTTATGGATTAAAACTTCATTTTTGGCGCATCCACGAGCATTCCAGTTATGAACCTTTCCAGAAACCTCGACGTATCCCTTCACATTTTATCCAACAGTTTATAATGAATAAAAATCAGCTGAAAAACATCAAATCTAAGCCTGTAAACGATAATAAAATGTGAAAGTTTTAAGCAAACTTCTTTCAGCTTTTCCCTCTTCAGAGGTCTCCACAGTGTCGTCCTCCTCCATCTCTGTCCTCACTCGAACCACCTCCATGTCCTCTCTAACTGCATCCATATGTCTCCTCTTTGTCTTTTTCCTGCAGCTGCATTTCTAACATCCTTCTACCGATATACCCACTGTCCCTCCTCTGGACATGTCCAAACCATCTCAGTCTGGTCTCTAACTTTATCTCCCAGTTGTTCAGCCTGTGCTGTACCTCTCATGATCTCATTCCTGATCTTTTCCATCCTTGTCTCTCCTAAGAACCTCAACATCTTCATTTCTGACACTTCCAGTTCTGTCTCCTGACTTTTTGTCCATGTCTCTGTCTCCAGACCATACAACAGAGCTGGTCTCACCACTGTCTTGTAAACTTTTTCTTTGACCTTTGCCGACACCCCTTTGTCACAAATCTCTCCTGACACTTTTCTCCATCACTCCATCCTGCCTGGACTCTCTTCTTCACCTCTTCACCACACTCCCCATGTTCCTGGACAGTGGACCCCAAGTCCTTGAAGTCTTGCACCTTTGTGACTTCTGCTCCTTTTAAAAATATAAAAGTTTTAAGCAAACATTTCCAGTAAAGTGTATTGTTTCGTGATTGTTTTTTTTTGGCACAGTATAACTCTTAGCTACAACACCAGATTATAATCCAAAGTTGGTCAGATAGTTTTCCTGTTGGATGCAGAAACTATCTGGAACCACCAGTGGTAGACAACATACTCAATTCCAGTACTGAAGTAAAAGTATTAATACTCATGGTCAAATCTTACTCAACTACAAGTAAAAGTTGCTCAGTCAAAAGTTTACTCAAGTTAAAGTACCGAAGTACTTACTTTTGAAAATACCCAAGTATTCAAAAGTGCATGCATTTAAAAAATACTCAAGTGTTTAAAGTACAAGTTATATTTTCTAATATCAGTACATTGCTGTATTGTTTTGAGTGATTTTACAGAACTGTTAACTCTGAAACCACCTGATGATGCATTGACATGTAGAACCACTCTAACCCTCTCATTGAAGTCTCATGGAAGTCCTAACAGATGATGCACATTCAGTCTTTTCCTCAGCCTCAGTATTCATACACCACATTGTCCGTAAAAGTGCACATGTTGACAAAAACAAAGTTCTGCCATATTTAACATTGAAGCTTAGAAAACAACTGGCCAACTGCATTTAAGGAAAGAAAAACAGCAACAGTGGATTACGAAGCTGAGCCAAAAGGAACAAGGACCAAGAAACCTGCTAGAAATGTAGTGGAGTCAAAAGTCCCAAGTTCCCAAAACCGTAAATACTCAAGTAAAGTAAGTAAAGTCAGTGCCTCTTGTCCGCATCAGCACCATGGGACCACCATGGTGCACCATTATTATTATACTCAGAAAATGTACTTAAGTACAGTACTCAAGTAAATGTGCTTTGTTACCGTCCACCACTGGGAACCACGTTGACTACGTGAAATGAACGTCCAATGACAAAGTTTCTGAAAGTTTCATCAAAACCCATCTAATATAAAACGAGATATAACCTGACAGCCACACACAAAACGTTAAAACGTTGATGGATGTTTCAGTTTCAGCATCGCAGCATCATTTTCAGATTTGTTTTAAAAGCCTGCGGTTCCACAACGGCAGCACTCACCGTGAGCTGCTGTCACCTCTGACACGACGAAGACACACACAATAAAGCTCTGAGCTAAATGAAGGTGATCCTGAACGACTAACATGTAAAAAAAAAAAATCTAAATTAAAAAGTCTGGTATAAATGTAAGAATAAAAGAGTCCAGCTGGACAAAGATCCAGCAGATAAAAAGAGCGTTAAATTACAGAGAGGTGAGTTGAAAAGGACGATGGAGGAAAGTGTCAAATTAAGGAGCTAATGGAAACAAACGGAGGCTGTTTTGTGTAAAAGCTCATGTAAGAGGACGATGTTCATGAACTGATCTACAGACACAAAGCTCAGAGACGGAGGACACAGAAATGATACAAAACACAAACGCATGTAGACTCAGAGGCTAACCTGGCCTCTGCTTAGTGGACATTCAAAAACTGGATTAAAACCATTTACAATCCCACCTAAAATCCTCATAACATTACATTTTATACAAATGTAGTTCCACGCAGGGTCAAACTTTTCTCCAAAGGTCAGTGAAATAAAGCAAACTGTTTCTATCTGATTCCAGGCTGGAAAGAGCTGATGGATAATCTTTGTTTTATGTCTTGAAACAGTGAAGCATCAGCTTCAATCAATGGGAAATTGGGTCTACGGTTCTGTGTCGACCCACGTCCGTATCCTTGGTTTAAAAGCCAATTCCTTCAGAGATGAAAACTTCTGTCAGGTTGAAAATCATAAAAAATGTCACGGAGACATGTTTTCAGTCCTGTGAATAATTTGGCTTTTCAACATTTACCATTTAAATAAAAAAAGAGGACATTACCAGACAAACTTTATCATTTAAAAACGGTTAATGTTGGGTTTTTGGTGTATGAATAAATATATTGGTTCATGTTACATGCAACTGTTGCTCCTCAACCAGGAAGTTCCACCTAAGCAACAACTGTGTGTACAACGAAGCAGATGTCGTTTTATTACATTTTTTTTGGGTGGAGATGTTAAAGTGGTTGTTAACGTTAGCAGCTGTATTCTGGAAGGTAGAGGTAAAAGTTATCCTGATGAAACCCTTGTTGTGTTTGTTAGTGTGCAAGCAGGAGGAGTAGGAACCCCAGCATGCAAAAATAGTTGTCCAATGGATTGGACAAGCAATAACCTTGTACAGCCTTTGACCTTGACTTGTGACCTTGGAGTTGGGGTATTTAAATGATTATGCAATACACTGTCTACTGGTACAAACGAGTATGAAGTTTTGATAACTTATCTTGAGCAGATCAGAAGTTATGGCAGGGACAAGCAAAGACCTTGCATAACATTTGACCTTGGTTTGTGACCTTGAATTTGGGGGTATTTAAAGGGTTACGCAATACGCTGTCTAGTGGTGGTACACACAAGTTTGACGTTTCGATCAACTATCTTCAGCAAATCGGAAGTTATGACACGGGCAAGCAAAGACCTTGTATGACATTTGACCTTGATTTGTGACCTTGAATTTGGGGGTATTTAAAGGATTACGCAATACGCTGTCGAGCAGTACAAACGAGTATGAAGTTTTGATAAATTATCTTGAGTGGATCAGAAGTTATGACATGGACAAGCAAAGCTCTTGTATAACATTTGACCTTGGTTTGTGACCTTGAATTTGGGGCATTTAAAAAAATTATGCAATATGCTATCTAGTGGTACAAACGAGTATGAAGTTTCAATAAATTATCTTGAGCAGATCAGAAGTTACGGCACAAACAAGCAACAACCTTGTATAATGGTTGACCTTGATTTGTGACCTTGACCTTGATCCTGGTGGGATGAGCACATCTGCAACCCTCTGTCTGGTGATGATACATGTGTATAAAGTGTCATTAAATTATCTGAAGCAGATCAGAAGTTATAGCCCGGAGAAGCAAAGACCTTGCATAATGTTTTACCTTGATTTATGACCTTGACCTTGATCCTGGTGGGTTAAAAGTCTACACAGCACGGACTGGTGATGTATTTGATTTATATGTTTATAAAGTTTCAGTAAATTATCTGAAGCAGATCAGAAGATATGGGAGAAGAGAAAGCTTGAACTTCTGCACCTTTGTGACCTTTGCGACATTTGTGACCTTTGATTATACAACAAGACGTCTGCCTTTCAATGGGCATATAAACATTAGATTAAACAGCAATAACAGAAAGCTCTGTCTTCTTTATTACTAGAAGAACTAGCATCCTATTATAACCCATCTCCTCTTCTTTCCTCTGTCAGACAAATAATTAAAAACTCTTTCTCCACTAAAATCCATCACTTTCTCTTTTATTTTCTTCTTTTGGCCCCGCTTCCTCCGTCTCCAACTCCAGACAATCTTTTGCTGACAGCTCTCTCTTTCATATTTCTGAAGCATGCCGTCTTCCTCAGGTGGTGCGCTTTCTTCCTCGCCTGTTCAACCCGTTTTCATCATGACGACGACTTCTCGGCTGATTTACTGACGTAAAACGATGCTGCCAAAGAGAAATCGTCAGGATTTATTAAGCGTTTGCCTTAAACCGAGACATTTCAGGGAAAATGATGAAATAATGAATAAATACTTAGAGATAGATTTTGACAACATGTATTGAAATTAAATGTATTGCTCTAGATTTCGTAAACAATATTGGCTGGATACTCAGGTGTCATGTCATGATCTGTGTTTTTAGTGACCTCTGTCACGGGGCGAAGATGGGGAGGATGGAAATACCCCCCCCGTCCATCAGTCCATCCATCTGTTCTTCTTGTGAGCATGAGAACTTTAAGAATAAGTGAGGTACAATTTTATTTTTTTAATGTGTGGTTGCATGTAAGCATAAAAAAAAGTTCATAGCAAAAATTGGGTTACCACATCCAATCCAAGATGGCCACTGCCTTTTATTTGTATATACTGTAATTTCTGGACTATAGAGTGCAACTGAAAATATGCTGAACACATTAAATAAAAAACAAATTGTACGTATACAAGTCAAGGTTATACATGCATAAGCCACAGGTGTTCATGTTGTAACATAAGTGGCAGTACACAGCTACTGAGAGAGATGTGCAGCTCTTGTTGTAGATCAAGAATCAACCACCAGGTGGCGTTTTATAGACTTTATCTTCCTGTTCAACACAGAGTGAACCCCACAGGTCTTCATGACAACTACCTCCCTCACTCATTGTTACTCTGCTGAATGGCCCAACACATAATGAACAGATAAACTAGGCTAACAAGAACAGACTAATCCCTAAAAGAACAATGCTAAACAGCTAACTGAAATGATTAACAATGAACATAAATTCTACCCATAATCCCTCCCTGAGAACATGTGACCAGCCATAGCAGAATGCTACAAGACGTACTGCTAACATACACAAATACATACAATAAATGTTTTTTTTTCTTAACAGTGCCGGGAACATGACTGACTAAATAAATAAATACAGTAGCCTACCAGAAAGTCATTGATGCCATCTTCATATTCCTCCCGCCCAAGCTGTCCTCCTGCTCCGCAGAGCAAAAGTTGCTCTGCGGAGCATGTGAGTCCCCGCTCACATGCTCTGCGCATGCAGGGGAATCCGCCCTCACGGGGAGGGTTTTGCTCCGCCCTTCCTGTTCTGTCGTCCCCTCCTCGTTTCATTGGTCCACTGTGACCTGTTCGGTAATTTAATTGGTCAGATTTTCTTCACCTTTATTTATACAGGTAGTTTCACAGAGTCACGAGGATCCAAGCCTCAAGAGAGACATGTATTGGGCAGCTATGCAAGTGCCCGGGTTTGAGAGGATAAATGGTTTTGGCGGCATGAAACTCGTTCGCCCGTCAAACAAAATCCATAAATTAGCCGCAGCATTATATTAACCACGGTGTTCAAAGCCTGTGGAAAAGGTAGCGGCTTTTAGACCAGAAAGAACGGTATATATCAAACCTAGAATTTCAGGCACTGTACCGGTCTCTGGTGAAGAGAGAGCTGAGTCAAAAGACGAAGCTCTCAATTTACCGGTCGACCTACGTTCCTACCCTCATCTATGGTCACGAGCTTTGGGTTGTGACCGAAAGAATAAGATCTCAGATACAAGCGGCCGAAATGAGTTTTCTCCGCAGAGTGCCTGGGCTCTCCCTTACAGATAGGGTGAGAAGCTCGATCATCCGGGAGGGACAGAGTAGAGCCGCTGCTTCTCCACATCAAGAGGAGCCAGTTGAGGTGGCTCGGGCATCTGGTTAGGATGCCTCCTGGATGCCTCCCTGGTGAGGTGTTCAAGGCACGTCCCACCGGAAGGAGACCCAGAAGAGGACCCAGGACACGTTGGAGGGACTATGTTTCTCGGCTGGCCTGGGAATTGCCTTGGGATTCCCACAGAGGAGCTGGACCAAGTGGCTGGCGAGAGGGAAGTCTGGGCCTCCCTACTTAGGCTGCTACCCCCGTGACCCGACCCCGGATAAGTGGAAGAAAATGGATGGATGTATCAACTTTCTTCCATAAAGCACAATAAAAATTCATATTTATTTTGTAATGGTCTGAACTGACAAAATGTTGACGTTTTGATGTAAAAACCTCGAGATTTGACCAAAATCTTTCCCAATTTAAGAGGATTTTAATCTCAAACTCAGACATAAACAATGGCTAGAACTTCATTTAAAACCTGATTTCTCTTCCTCTTCAGAATTTCCCATTAGTTTCATCAGCTTCTCCTCTCCACCTTTTCACTCTTCACCTCTTCGACAGCTCCTTTTTCCTCCCTCCATCTTTTCCAGCCTTTGATTAATCATCTCACCTCCTCCTCCTCCTC